CAACTCATAAAGAGCCTGGGAGAACTCCTCCTTTTAAATGGTGCAAGTTGATTGTCTACATATGGGACTTCTTAGGAAAGGCAGTGTTGGTTTCTCATTTTGGAATTGTAATAAGATTCTTTCAAAATTAGAGCACAATTCTGAATGTATTACATTTAGTTCCTAAGGCCAAGCACACCTGTAGCTATTCTGATATATCATTACACAATGGCGTTATTTTGACTTAGTTGAATACTAGATAACCCAGCACAACTGTGACACTGATGAGAGTTAAGATAAATTTGATTAGCCAAATTAAAACAAAATAAAGCATTACTGGTGCCAACATGAATCAATCATGACCCATTTTTCTCTAAATTAAAAGTTTTGTGATATGAAATTCTCAAATTTGTAAAAAGTTGCCTACTAAAAATTGGCCAAAGAGGAAGTAAAGGTGATGTGCTATTTCTTGGCTAATGCACATCTTTCCTTTGAAGCTCTTGAAAAACTGCTGTAGTTGCTAAGTAACTAACTTTAGCAATCTTGCTGAAGCTGTTTGAAAATGTTCTTGTCTCAGCCACACCCAGCTCACCCCCACAGTTGTTCACATGGGCAAAAATACTATAATGAGGCTTTCACAATCATCTATGCTTAGTCAACATTTGATAAATAACCTGCAGCGCTAGAACATATTAGAAATGCCATCTGGGAAAGATGAATCTGACATTCATATTTGGGAAAATGATTTTCAAATTATGGCTTGCTTCTCTGGTGCTTTTCTGTAGCTGTACATATTCAAAGGAACTTAAATAACTTAAAACAGAATAAAAACTCGATTTTATTTCTTCATATGTTTAACAACTTTATAACATGGTTTTCTTCTGCAGGGATGGGCGGAACTGTAGATTTGAAAGGAAAACAAGTACTTCAGGACACACATGGGTTCACACATAACACCAGTCAATGATTCTTTAAACCATCTTGCATCTTTCTCTGGAATCATCCTGCAGCTGTTGGCAACAGTGTCCTAGTACACTCCAAAGCACCTTTTTCCCTTTGAATCTGAAGTGTTGTACAGCCCTATTTTTTCATTTTTTGTTATGTAATAGATAGTTAGAAGCCATCAAATCTGGTGACTGCATGAACAAATGCTTATTATCTTGCCTCATATTTAATAGTAACTTGTAGCTCTTCCAAGGACACTCCAATAATTTCTTTAATCTCATCCATCCACTTTATCCATTGTCTCCCTCTTCTTCTATTTCTGACAACCTTACCAAATATAATAGTTTTCTCTAGTTCTCTCTTCATATCACATGGCCAAAATATATGAGTTTTTACTTGCTGATCATTGCTTCAAGAGAATAGTCAACTTTATTTGTAACTAATTGGTTCTTCTTGTAATCCATGGTACCTGTAGTAAACTTCTCCAAATCTATAATTTTAAGGAATCTACCTCCTTTCTCTCCTTCATAGCTGTTCAGTTTTCATAGCTGTACATTGCCACTGAAAAATCCATTGCTTTCAGTGTTTTGATTGTTATTGTCATTGAAATGGACTTACCATTCATGATCTAGTCCACATTTATCATTGCCTTCCTTCCTTGGATTAACCTCATCTTTACTGAAAACAAAAACGATTTCTCATTTTTAGTTTCAACTGTAAATTCATCAAACAATGCAGATTAATTGTATCTTTATCTTCTTATATTCAACATTAAACCAGGTTTTCCATTTTCCATTTTTACTTTTATCATGAACTCTTCTAGGTCTTCTTTACTTTTCACTAACAAAGTAGTGCTGTCTACTTTGATCTTAATTTCCTAGATTTCAGCCACCAATTGTTATACTAGTTAACATCTCTTTCAATTTTGCTATTGTTATAATTATTTAAACAGATATGGGAACAAAATGCATCCTTGTTTCAGTCTCTTGAATTCTCAACCACTCTGCTTTTCCAAATGTAGTTCTTACAGTAACTTCTTATTCATTGTAAAAAGAATAATCAGATGATCCAGCATACCCGTCGGCCTTAACATTTTTCATATTCTGGCATGATCCACACAGTCAAATGTAAATCTCCTTGTATTCTCTTGCCCTCCATTATGTGGCTTATGTTAGTTGAGAATGACTAATCTCTGTCTTACCCAAAGTGATGCCCTCCAGCTATTTGGATCTCACCTGTTTGGATGGGAATTGTGGGAATAGGAGTTGAACATAATTGAAGGACTCTAGCTCAGGAAAAGAAGGCAGCTGTCTTGTTAAGAAAGAAGAAGGTGGCTGAATTTCTTATCTCAAAATATGAGGTTCAAGGAAACCATCTAAATCCAAAATTTATCATTTAGCTATTTCTGTTTCCTTCTTACTTTTCTTTTTAGACATATCTTTAATCCCATACATAGTTTTAAAATTACAAGTATTAGTATAAATATTAAATATTTTAGTTATGGATTTTATGGATGGGCAGGAATACACAAGAACAGTTGTGACACTTTCAGTACAGGACAGATGAAGTGCTAGCTGTGTTGCTAGAATGGGAAGTATGTTTGAGGATAAAACCATGTGAATGTTAGCTATGAATTATATTTATACAATAGGTCCAATGTTTCTGTGTTCTTTTTAAATGGAGGTGGCTACTTTTACAATTGACAGTTTGGGAATTGTCTAACTAGAATATAATCAATGCCAAACTGCCATTGTATGCAGTTTGCTTTGAAAAGAGGGAGGAGGGGAGTCAGGACTTTATTGTTGCAGGACTTCATTCAAATTTGGTTATTGTAGATTAATGATTCCAGAATGTCTGAGCTGGGAGAGACCTTATATATCACCTAATCGAATGCCCTGCTTAGTCCAGAAGTCCACTAAGCTATCCCTGAAAAGTGACCATCCAGTTCTCTGTAGAAAGCCTCTAGCAAGGCTCCACCACTCCCTTAGGCAGACTGTTCCATTGCTTATCAGCTGTAACTGACAGACAGTTCTTGCTGACATTAATCCTAAATCTCTTTAATCTCAACCTGTTAGTCCTCGTCTTCCTCTCACTTTCGATAGGATACAGCTCCCTGTGCCCCTTCTTGCATGTGACAGACTGTTAGATACCTGTGGACCACTATCATTTCTCTGCTTAGTCTGTCCCTTTTCATGCTTAGCAGCTTTACATTTTATTTTTGGCAAAAAGCCTTTGTTAGCCCAGTGTCTACTGGAAATTTCTGTCATGTGGTATGAAGTCTAATGGCTATCAGCAGGCTACGGGATGGTTATCATAATTAGAACATAAAGATCAAGTAGATCCAAATGGAAACAGGCAGTTGCTTAAAAAAAATCTGATCTCAAGGTGTTTAGGTTTATTTAAACAATATATTGAAAATGACTCTGTAGAAAATTGACAGTCATTCTCTTCAGCATATGTGATACATGTATTAACCACTGAAGTCTATATGCCCTGCTGTTTCTAACCTCTCTCTCAAAGGAAACCGCCCCCCTTCCCCACCAATCTAGAGCATGCAATAGTAACCCCAAACCAAGATAACCAATTATCCTTCTGTTGTTACAGTTCTTTGATCAACTGCATTGAAGAAATCTGAACAAAACATCTACGTTAATAGAAATTCATGCTCCAAATGGACCAACATTTACAGTGTGCATAAATTTCTATAGTTCTTTTTGTGCAAACTTTCTAAAACAAAACTAGAAATGAATGTATAAACTGTTCAGAAGTTGTAGATAGCAAAGCCTGGCCACTCGTATTGAGTAGTCCTTGCAAACAGCTATAATTTCTTTATTTTGTATAATAATACTCACATAGGTACATGCTCACAAAGAGTCATTTTCTGAGGGGAAAGGAGATCTTTCCATACTGACTGTTGGCCAACAGTGAGACTAAGTTTCTTGTTGGCTATGCCAATCACTATTCCAGACAGTCAGTAGTAAATATACATTTGCTAAGAAATTATGGAGAGCTAGAAAGAAATCAGGCAACACAATTTGGAAGTTTGTTATGTGATAATTCTGAACATGAAAATGTTGGATAAACTGTTGGATAAAAGTTCTTAAGCAGGATATAAAGTGCATTATAAAGCAGTATCTAATTTGAAGGGTGAGACAACTGAATAAGAAAAAAAGCAACAAGGGGAGAAGCTCAAGATCTTACTCCTTCCTGAAAAAAACAAATCATTGCAAAATATGCTGTGATTCAGTATTTTGAAGTGAAGGCTGTTGAAGCAATGGGTTAAGGTTTCTTTAGTCTACTTGTTACAAATACTGCTGGTTTATCTGGTAGCATAGTCCATATGTTGCCATTTAAGGCTGTCTTTAAGGGATAAATAGGAGCACAGTTTTAAACAATATTATTTACCTATTCATTGGCCATGAATATTCATTTTGTAGTACTTTAATCTTCTTTGCAGTATCTGTGCTGTTTCCAATTGTATGAGGTTTTTATAGATGATGTATGATTATTTCATGATGGCTAGAATTGTTGACAGTCAGAAGATTTACTTGTCTTTTCTTCCACATAAATGAATGGTAACAATTCATTCCAGGATGGGGGGAATAGATTGCCACTGCTGCTGTTGTTATTATATCACATTTTTATTTTGTACAACTCAATGTGTGCACCTAATGCTTCTTGTACATGAAATATTAGAAAACCTTTGCTGTGAAGTTTCTTGACTCTGGATGGTCCACTCTCCCTGTTGTTTCACATTGTCTAAGACCTTCCCATTGTGGCATCCTAATGATGGGTATTCTTGTCCTATCACTGTACCCTTTTTCTTATAGATCTTAATAACAGAACTCAGATTTTTTACTTTACTGTTCATTTCTGGGCCTGATTATTGTTGGAGTGTCCTAACATTCATATATTCTCTGAAATAATGAGCACTGTAGTTAGCAGTATAGCTGGATGAAGATGGGGCATATTTTGGATCTGTATAGACTTGAATAATAGCTTGGAGTGGTCCTCTTCCCTCTCTCTCACTCAAGGAACTCTTACTTATTGTCCTTGCACATCATTTTGTTTTTCAGGCGCAGTATTATGGGGAGATAGGCATTGGGACTCCACCACAGAAGTTTACAGTAGTCTTTGATACCGGGTCATCAAACCTCTGGGTGCCATCTGTTCACTGTCACTTGCTGGATATTGCTTGTTGTAAGTATCCATTCTTGTTTATCTCATAGAGATAAAGACTGTCCCATACGTTTACAAATATACAACTGTAAATTGCAACCATATAGGATGACATTCTAGGAAAATTACTCCTCTATTGCTCAGCAAGTATATGAAAAACACGGTTATCTATATGCTGTTTTTCAACCCAGCTACTGAACCTCTGCTGGTATATAACTAAGTGCCCATCTATTTTATAAAATTGAGGGACTCTTCAGATGGAATGAATTTTCTACACAGAAACTGCTTTCTTGGGCTATATCCAACATTACACAATGGATTTACATATACTCATCTGGAATTCTGTTCCTTTCAGCTGTACTCTCTTGAGTGTCCTCCAGTTCTATTCCAGGCTGTTGGTCAACCCACTGGAAGAGATTTGGAGGAGGACATTATAAGGAGGGGAAATTTTATCTTCAGGCAGAATGACATTGGATAAACCCCATATGCTCCAACCAGAATTGACTCAAACCACTAGATCTTGAGGAGAAGCTGTTGTAGTCCCATGCTTCCAAGAGGTGGCCAAGGGTAGAAGGCACTGCTTTTCTGTAGTGGTGCTAATACTCTGGAATAGCTTCTCTATGGAGATTAGAGTCAACTCCTCCGTGCTGGTTTTCAGGAAACTTTGAAGAGAGAATTACTTTGGAAAACATTCTCTTAACAAGCATTATACCATCATTTATTTCCTATTGTTATTTTTGTTTGTTATCCTGTCTTTGGGGATTTATGAAGTTATTGGTTTAATCTATTGTGGATGTTTTAACTGTTGTTATATTGTGTGCCCTATAAGCTACTGAGAATCATCAGATTGTGGCAGGCTATAAGGCTGACAGATAAATAAGTTCTATATATGGGCCATCAAATATTACATGCATATATCTGTTTGCTATATGGATGTGTAGTAGGAGGCCCTGAAGGGCTATAACATAGATGAAATAAACCCATAGAACTAATTCCCTGTTTAATGTACATTAAAAACTATGTAATCCTTTGTAGAAAGGAAATGTACTTTAGGGGGAAATCTGTACGAACTGGCCCTAAAATCATATTTTCTAACATTTTTAGTATTTAATATTCTCAATATTCTAATTTTTTTCACTTTAACTAAGCTGTCTTTAAGGGATAAATAGGAGCACAGTTTTAAACAATATTATTTACCTATTCATTGGCCATGAATATTCATTTTGTAATACTTTAATCTTCTTTGCAGTATCTGTGCTGTTTCCAATTTTATTCTTACTTCCTGACATCATATGATAATGTGAACTTACATATATAGCTGCCCTCTGCAGCTGCCACATGATTTTGGGAAAAGACACAGCTGCTTTCAAGTGTTGCAGTCAGGTGCTACAGTATGTCTACACCATCCACACACACACCCCTCACACACACCTGTGTGCAGCTTTTTCCAACTGAATCCACAACATTGCACATTTTCCAACTGAATCCACAACATTGCACAACCCTGTGTGCAACTAAGTGGCCAGATATGCCTATTTCAGTTAAGAAATAGAAACTGCTGTAAGGTAAATTTAAAACTTGCACATACCATCTAATTTTAAATTTTAAATAAATTAGGCTGGATAGTATTAGATTCCTGCACTGGGCAAGGGGATGGAATAAATTATCTTCCTGATCCCTTCTAACGTACATAATCTATGATTTATAATTTGGCACCATGCTGGCTGAGGATGATGTTTGTGCTGGTACATCTGGAGACTAAGAAAGGCTGACTTAAAGCTTTATACATGTGCTTTTTACTTCATTTTCTAGAGTTTGTACAGCTTTTCAGCAATGTGTGATGTCTGATTTGATTATTCTGTTTTGTTTTTCTCTGAATACTAATAGTCATGGTAAATACAGTGGTACCTCGGTTCATGAACTTAATTCGTTCCGCGACTCTGGTCGCGACCCAAATCAAATTTTCCCATAAGGTTCAATGTAAATACGGTTAATCCGTTCCGACCCCTCTGAATTTGGTGGCGACCCGATTTTGGTCGCGTCCCGAATCAAATTTCCCCATAAGGTTCAATGTAATTACGGTTAATCCGTTCTGAACCATATGTATTTTTTTTTTTAAACCGCAAAAATATGAAACAAAATACAGTACGAAGAGAGAGAACGCTAACCTTGCTTGACGCGACTTCTGGCGCGGAGGACAGGGAGGCGGTTATTGCTTGGAGGGAAAGTCCCCCTCCCTACAGGAAGCCATGACCATGTGTCACGGGAGGGAAAATGGCCACGGATCCTGTTCGTCACCCGATCCAGCATTTGCGAATGGAGGCAAAATTTTGCGACCAGAGCTGTTCG